CATTCATAAAGTGTAATTTTAATGCTTGTTGGCATGAAATATGAATGAATTGTGAGTAATCGCACGGAAGCGAAGAACGCGACCCGAGTTGCCAAGTGCTTTTGCAACGGGAAAGTTATTATTAAAATATTACAAAGTCGAATCGAATGATCGCGAATTATCACATATTATCACGGCTCAGCTCCAGAAACCTCAAATTTCCCCGCAGCTCCTATTTTCCCTCCGGAATCGAGTCGGAACCAAGAACTCAGACCTGGCACGAAAGGAGACGAGATTCTCGTCGTGAAGCACCAACAGGCCGAAGGGACTGACTGAGTCCCCCGTCATCGGGTTCGTCTCGTGTAAACAAGCAACGGATGACGCGAGATGACGAAAGTCAAGGTCTCTCGACGCGCTCTTTCCGCCTCTGCCTCCCTTCCCCGAATCCCGTCCGAGGGGGGAAAACGAAGGAGGACGACGAGATAGGGAACCATTAAAATGAAGGATGACGAGAGGGGGGAGATTTGTTGAACCCCTGCCATCGACTGGATGCGCACATGTGCGTCCTCCATCTGGGGATGTAGGTTAGAGGCCTCTCCGTGCATCTGCGAGGGACCGAAAGACCGAAGTGGTACGTCATGTTCGCCGTCTGCGTGTTCCTGTTCCTCCTGCTGTGTCGGACCGAAGCCGACTTCCGCGACGACGAGGAAGACGACGACGAGGTCCCGATCGAAGACTGGGACTCGACGAGGCCGACCCCCCCGTCCAAGGTGGACGTTCTGGCCCACGTCCTCAAGGACCAGGTGTGGGCCCTGAAGCGACACCCGCGCCCCCTGGACCTCGTCTTCCTCCTCGACGCGTCCTCGAGCGTCGGCGAGGACAACTTCCGCAGCGAACTCGCGTTCGTCGCGAAGCTCTTGGCGGATTTCCCCCTCTCGCCCGGGCACGGCAGGGTCGCCGTGGTCGCCTTCTCCTCCGCCGATCGGATCTTCGCTCACGTGGATCACATTTCGTCGACGGCCGACGGTGACAACAAATGCTCGCTGCTCGCCGCTCTGCGGAAGATCCGGTACTCTGGGGGTGGGACCTACACCCTCGGAGCGATGTTGATCGCAGAGGTGCAATCATTTAAATCACTTTTTCGACTCCGTATTCAAATCTAGCATCGATCGAGTGTTCGACACTTCCGGTTTTCTTGCAGAAAATCTTGCGCAAAGGTCGTCGGGATGCGAATCGAGTGCTCATCTTGGTGACGGACGGTTTCTCAAACGGCGGGGATCCGATCCCTGTCGCGATCCGTCTGAAACGGGCCGGAGTCGCCATCTTCACCTTCGGGATCCGGAACGGAAACGTCCAGGAACTGTCCGCCATGGCGTCCGAGCCCAAGAACTCCTTCATCCTCAACGGCTTCCGGGAGTTCCAGAGCCTCGCCCACCGCGCCCTCCACGAAGGTACGAGATCCACGAACTCTCCAAGGAAACCTGCATGCACTCACCTTGCACCCACCTGCCACCTGCCACTCGCGCACTCCCCCTCCATCCACGCACTCACCTTCCACCTTTGCACTCTCCCGCAGACCTGGAGGTCGGAGAGTACGTGGCCTACGACCCCTCGGCGTGCGGAGAACTGTGCTCGGGGCCAGAACCCTGCTGCTCGGACCCGTCGGAATGCACCTGTGGCATCCGGACGGGGCAGGTCGCCTGTCTCTGTCCGCCCGGCTACTATGGCAACGGCATTCGTGGAGACTGCGTCCGTAAGTCTGATCCGACCGTCAAGTCTGGAGTCGAAGTTCGTGAACGCTGTACGAT